GCAGCGATGCGGGCGAGGCCCGGCCCCCGACACCGGCCAGCCCTCGCGCCCGCGCCCACAGCCACGAGGAGACCGGCCGCCCCGCCGCGCCCCCCGCCCGCTTCTTCTCCGACCCGCTGGCGCTGCTGGGGCTGCCGGTTGAGGAGCCAGAGCCCGAGTTCCCGCCCGTGCCCGAGCCCCGCTGGTTCGCCCACTATGACGTGCAGAGCCTGCTCTTTGACTGGGCTCCGAGGCCCCGGGGGACGGGGGGCCACGCAGAGGCGGGCTCTGGGACACCCGCCTCGTCTCAGGACCAGACTGCGGGCTCCGACCTGCTGCTTGAGGCGCCTGGCTTCGTGAGTGAGCTCGGGGGTGAGGGCGAGCTGGGACTGGGTGGACTGGTGTCTCCACCTGTGCCCCCCTCACTGCCCAACGCGGCCGTGTCCGTCCTGGAGGAGCCACAGAAGCGAACCTCGGCCTACAGCCTGGAGCACGCAGACCTGGGCGCTGGCTACTACCGCAAGTATTTCTACGGCAAAGGTGAGGGGAGGGCCGCTGGGGAGGGGCCGAGGTCCCTGTCACCTGCGGTGAGCTGTCCTTTCCCTGCCAAGTCCCTGGCCACGTGACGGGTCAGGCTCTGTCTCTGGGCCGAGGCTGCCCAGCTTTAACCACCTCCCTAAGACCAAGCCCAGCCTCCACCCAGCCAGGCACGCTCCGCTGCCCCCATCTGGTTCATCCTTTTGCTCCTCACGGCTGGGGAGAGTTTCCTTATGGACATTTCTGTGAGGTGAAAACTGAACCCCTGCACCCGGGAACCTTGTTCTCATCCAGTGCCCACAAGGGAGGGCCCCAGACACCCTGGGGAAGAATATGGGCATGGTGGGCGAGGCCATGCAGGATCTAGGCTTTGGAGCAGGCAGGCATGGCCCGCCTGAGTCTGGGGCAAGATATATCATCGGTGAGGCTGCAGAAGGGGTGAGGCCTAGGGCCAAGTGTATAGGTGCCGACAGGAGTCAGGATCTGGGTTGGTAGAACGTGGGCAGGGCTGACGAGGGGACTGGACTTAATCTAGGATCTGAACTAGTGTTGTGGTGGGACCTGGAGCGGGGACTTTGACGGACGTGGTCGAGCGAGGGTGGGACTGCTCAGGGGGAGGATCTGCTCATGCGCCGCCTGCTTCCCCCAGAACACCAGAACTTCTTCGGACTGGACGAGGTGCTGGGCCCGGTGGCAGTGAGCCTGCGGCGGGAGGAGAAGGAGAGCAGCGGAGGGGGCTCTCTGCACAGCTACCGCATCATCGTGCGGACCACGCAGGTAGGCCGAGGTCATGGGAATGAGACCGCGGATTGCCTTCTGAACGGCCTGCATGTATCCTGAGCGCCCCTGTATCCCCTCCTTAGCTCCGGACCCTCCGCGGCACCATCTCGGAGGACGCGCTGCCTCCAGGGCCCCCGAGAGGCCTGTCCCCGAGGAAGCTTCTAGAGCACGTGGCATCACGGCTGAGCCTGACCTGCCTGCGCCTGGGGTCAGCTTCACCGAAGGTGCCCCGTACGCTGCTTACGCTGGACGAGCAAGTGGTAAGTGGGTGGGACAGCCCTGCCCTACAGCTAGACCTGGTCTGAACCCAGCCTGCCCAGCTCCTAGCCACCTAGCCTTGACCCTGATCCTGGCCTGGACGGGGACCCCAGGAGAGCTGCCTTTTCAAAAAGAGGGCATCAGAGGTCATCTGGAGCCTTGCCCCTCAAAGTAAGGTCTGTAGACCAGCAATATCTGTATCATCTGGGAGCTTGTTAGAAATGCAGATTCTCAGGCTCCACCCCAGACCTACTGAATCTCAGAGCCCACACTTTAAGAAGATCCCAAGGTAATTCCTATGTGCATTTCAGCTGAGGAGCGCTGATCTGACTGCCACCCCCTCTTCCTGCAAGTCCCTCTCCTTCCCTGTCAGTTTGCCCTGCAACGCCCTGCTTGGTCTCCTGCCAGTCTGGGGTGCTCACTCCTTCCTGGGGCTGCCCATTCCACTGTGGGACCACTCAAGCCCGCTGAAGGTCCTTCCCTACCCTGTGCTGAAAGCTGCCTATTGGCCCCGATTCTCCTCCTCTGTCATTCAGTCTGTTAGTCATTCAACAAACATTTCCTCATACCTTGGTACCAGGCTCCAGACTGGATGCTGGAGACCTGTCTAGACCAGATGCTGTCCTTGAGTAGCTCACAGACAGGTGTGGGAGAGAGACTGCAGAGAATCATGGATAATGATGGAGCAGGATAACAGGGGCAGGGCAATGTTGAGGGCTCTGTGGGGCACCAAGGTAGCTGACAGCCCTTCCTTGGTTCAGCATCACGGAGGAAATGCAAGAGCCCAAACCAGGAAGAGCAGACATTTTCTGGACAGAAGGAACAACTTGGGTGAAGCTTAGAGACTAAAAACTGTCACGTCAGGGTCCTGTGGGCAGTTCAGCATGACTGGAGTAGGGCTTGGGGGTAAGGGGTGGGAAAGGCCGGCCTTTGGTCCTGAGGGCACCGTGCAGCTGTGGAAGATCTGAGAGGTTGAGCAACCCTCTGGCTGCAGTGTGGGGGCTAGACTGGAGGCCACGCTGAAGGCTGTCGCAGTCATCCTAGCCAGACGTGGTGGTGATGATGGCAGAAGTGAAGAGGAGGTGACAGTCTAGGGACAGAGTGGATAGCCTTCGTGGCCGACTGGAACGGTGGGGGTGTTGTGAGATTGCCCTGCTTCTCGGCCGCTGGGAGCGGTAGTTTTTGGAGGCAGGGACCCTGGAAGACGAGTGGGGTGGGGGGGGAGTCATAGTGAGGAGGTGAGGTGCCAGGGGCTGGAAGGACATCTGGGCAGCTGGAGCTCGGGAGAGGGGTCTGGGCTGGAGGCAGAGTTGGGGGTATCATTCCATGGAGATGGCTGCTGTGGCCACTGAAGGTGAAGAGCGTGGGTGGGGAAGAGGCCCAGACATGAGAGGGTGAGGTCCCTGGGGTGTCAGGCAGAGTGAAGTTCCAGTTGTCCCAAGTGCCAACTAAGGTGAGAGGGTGCCAGGATGAGGCCGTGGCCGTGGCCGTAAGAGGGGCTTGGGGTTTAGGAGCTGGGGTGGAAGTGGGGCTGTAGTGTGAGGAGGGATGAAATGAAAGTGGGGACTGTGGGTGTAGACGCGCTTAGCATGAAGACGGGAGGCCAGGGCTGGAGGGGCCCTGGGCTTGTTTGCGTGGTGGCAGAGCACCCTGAGCTGTGCATAGTTAACCCCAGATGCAAAGGAGCCACAGGAGCCGGGAGCAGAGAGTAAGCAGAGGTGATGCAGGGCTCCAGGCCTCCAGAGGCTGGGCTCAGGGTGCCTGGCATTTGAGGGAGGGGAGGACAGGCTGGCCTTGAGATAAGGAGGATGACAATGTGGCTATTAATTGGGATCGAGCACACTCTATGCAGGGTCCTTTCCGTGAATCACGTCCTCTACGGTCATATGACAACCAGCCCCCTCCCGGTTCCTTCTCACCTTGATCTCCTCTGCCTTCCTGAGCGCTGGGAGCAGGAGAGACAGAACCCACTTGATAAGCGAGGACACAGAAGTGGCTTAGAGAGGGCAGAGCTCAGGCCACACACGGAGGCAGTTCTGTCCCCAGGCCAATGTTCCGGTCCATTCCCCAAGGCCCAGGGGTGCTGCTGGGTGACTGAGGCCTGTGCCTTCTGCCTGTGCCCTCCCCCGCAGCTGAGCTTCCAGCGCAAGGTGGGCATCCTGTACTGCCGGGCGGGCCAGGGCTCGGAGGAGGAGATGTATAACAACCAGGACGCAGGACCCTCCTTCATGCAGTTCCTCACCCTGCTGGGTGACGTGGTGCGGCTCAAAGGCTTTGAGAGCTACAGGGCCCAGCTGGACACCAAAAGTGAGGCCCAGGGGCCCCGGGGTGGGGGCAGACCCATGCTGAGGGGCAGGCTGCCTTGGTGAAAACCAGCTGCCTGCTCACTTTTCTGTCCCATCTTGTCCTGGGTCTGGGGCCGGGGGTGGAGAGTCCTTTGGGTAGGCTGAGGACGTGGGTCTGGGGCTGCAAAGGCCAAGCCATGGCTGGGAGGAGGGGCTGGGACTATCCCCCAAGGCCCCGGTGCCCTACTGCCTGAGCTGGGTCAAGGGGGATTGTAGGCACCACCCTCGCCATCAAACACTCATATTCCACCAGCCCAGACTGCCTCCCTGGTTGGAAAGGTCCCAGGGCCCCTGAAAGGTGTTTTTATCCAGCACCTCCTGCCTGCCTTCCACTCTCTCAGCTGCTCCACACATGCTGGTGCCTGGGCCAACATCTGTCTTCTCCTGGGACATCCGCCCCCGACTCCCTGTTAGCAGGCCATTTCTCATTTCTGTCTTCATTCTATCTCAGCATCCCCCCATCCCAATCCCAGGCTGGAGGCTGGATCCTGTGGGGGGAGGGGAAGGGGAGCAGCCAAGGCTGAGACCCTTGGAGCTCATGGCCTGGACCTTGGCTGGTGGCGGAAAGGGGTTGTCCACCTGCTGGCTGGGGGTACAGAGGCTCCAGACTGCAAGCAGGATGGCAGGTTCAAGCCGTCCAGATTTCCCTTGCTCTCCCTCGGTGTCCCCAATTTCCTGGCCACAGCGGATTCCACGGGCACGCACTCCCTCTACACCACGTACCAGGACCATGAGATCATGTTCCACGTGTCCACGATGCTGCCTTACACCCCCAATAACCAGCAGCAGGTGTGAGGGGGCCCTGGGGATGGGGGCTGACTATGGGCTTCTGGGGACCATGGAGGGGTGCTTTGTGGGTGGCAGTGTTTGAACCTTGGTCTGAACTCTGCTGACCCCTAACTACTCTCCAGGCTAGTGTCCCTCCCCAAAGACAAACACCCCAGGCCTTCACCAGGGGCAGGTGGGGGGAGCCACTGGTGCCCAGGCTCTTAGGTCTCACTCACATCCTCCACCTTCTAACCCCCAGCTCCTGCGGAAGCGCCACATTGGCAACAACATTGTGACCATCGTGTTCCAGGAACCCGGCAGCAAGCCCTTCTGCCCCACCACCATACGCTCGCACTTCCAGCACGTATTCCTAGTCGTGCGGGCCCACGCGCCCTGCACTCCGCACACCTCCTACAGGTGGGCCCCCAGAGTTCCAGTTCTGCCAAGGGTAGGTCTTCCTGGGCCCTCCCTTTGCCCCTGACTACCGCCTCCTTCCCCATAGGGTGGCTGTGAGCCGCACCCAGGACACCCCGGCCTTTGGGCCAGCTCTGCCCCCTGGCGGAGGTCCCTTTGCGGCCAACGCCGACTTCCGGGCCCTCCTGTTGGCCAAGGCGCTCAATGGCGAGCAGGCGGCGGGCCATGCACGCCAGTTCCACGCCATGGCCACGCGCACGCGCCAGCAGTATCTGCAGGACCTGGCCACCAACGAGGTGACCACCACGTCGCTGGACTCGGCTTCCCGTTTCGGCCTGCCTTCCCTGGGCGGGAGGCGGCGGGCGTCCCCCCGGGGCCCGGGCGCTGAGCTGCAGGCGGCAGGGGCGCTGGTGTGGGGCGTACGCGCGGCGCCCGGGGCGCGGGGCGCGACCGGAGCCGAGGCGGGCGGCCCTGACAGCGCAGAGGTGCCATGCCTGCTGGGCATCTCGGCCGAGGCGCTGGTGCTGGTGGCGCCGCGCGACGGCCGCGTAGTCTTCAACTGCGCTTGTCGCGACGTGCTGGCCTGGACGTTCTCCGAGCAGGAGCTCGACCTGTACCACGGCCGCGGGGAGGCGATCATGCTGCGGTTCGACGGGCCCCCCGGCCAAGCCGTTGGCGAGGTCGTGACGCGCCTGCAGGTGAGGCGCGGGAGTAAGGTTGGGGTGCAAGGTCCCTGCGTGCGCGCGCGGCGGGGAAGGAGCCTGCTTTGGAGCCCCTCGTTCCCGCCGCCTCTCCTGCGAAGGGGGAAGTCGGGGTGCTGGGGCACACCGGGAGCCTGGCAGGGCTGGAACTGGGGGTCCCCAGGCCCTCTTTTGCGGGGTGGGTGGCTAATGCCCTCCTCGGGCGTGTGGAAGGGCCCATGTGACCTGGGACGGTCCCCGGGTCTGGCGCTGGGGCGGTCCCTCCTCCGTTAGCCCCGCTCACGCCCCGCCCCGCTCCGCCCCAGCTGGTGAGCCGCGGCTGCGAGACCCGCGAGCTGGCGCTGCCCCGCGACGGCCAAGGCCGCCTGGGCTTCGAGGTGGACGCTGAGGGCTTCGTCACGCACGTGGAGCGCTTCACGTTCGCGGAGACGACGGGGCTGCGGCCCGGGGCGCGCCTGCTGCGCGTGTGCGGCCAGACGCTGCCCAGTCTCGGCCCCGAGGCCGCTGCCCGGCTGCTGCGCTCGGCGCCCAAGGTCTGCGTCACCGTCCTGACCCCCGACGAGAGCGGCCGGCCCCGCAGGTCAGGACGTCGGGACGCAGGGAGGTGGGAGGACCGGGCAGCTGGTCACCGCCTAGCCCGTGCCTCCCGTGTGGCCATTAGCGACAGGAATCTCGCGTGGAGGCCTTTCCTTCTTGAGAGAATCCCGCGTCTCTTAATCTCTCTGAACTGCACTATCCTTATGGGTAGAATGAAGACTATTAAGCTCGCGTCTTCACCGCCCAAAAGATCCAAGAGCAGCCGCCGCTATATTTCTCACAGACACCTTCTACACACTATTGGTTACTTATTGCATTAAACCAGGGATATGCGGACTTTTTATGTACAGAGCCAGATAGTAAATATTTCAGGTTTTCTGGGCTATCTGGTCTCTGCTGCAGCCACTCGGCTCCCTCACGGTAGCACAAAAGCATCCAGAGATGACATTTAAATGATGAGTATGGCCTCGTGCCATGAAAACTATTTATGGACCCTGAAACGTGAATTTTACGTGACTTTCACATGGCATAAAATATTCTTTTTATTTCTTTCAACTGTTTAAGACTGTAAAAGCCAATCTTAGCTTTCAGTAGTACAAAAACAGGCACATCTGCTAAAAAAGAAAAGACAAAGGCAGAGGCTGGATTTGCCCCCAGGCAGTACTTTTTGGATTTCTATGCTAAGTGGTTTTCCCACGTTATTTAAATCCTCACAGCAAACTAGGAGATCAGTACTATTATCCCCATTTCACAGATGGAGAAACTGACATTCAGCGCGATTTGCTTAGGATTCACAAGGGCAGCACTGCGATTTGAACTGAGGTCTGGACAAATGGCCAGTAGCCAGGCACATATTTTTCAGTGTTGTCAGAGAGTTTGGAGAGCTCTCCTCCTCCTGGAAGCGAGCCTCGGGCACAGCTGGGAGGGGCTGGTGATGCTGCTGTTCCTGCCTGACCTACTCCTTCCTCTCCCCAGGAGCTTTTCGGAGCTGTACGTGCTGTCTCTGCAGGAGCCCAGCCGGCGGGGGGCTCCCGAGCCGGTGCAGGATGAGGCCCCAGCAGTGGCCCTACTGCCCACCACGAAGCAGCTGCTGCAAGTGTGCCTGAACGATGGCAGTGGTCCTCCAGGGCCCGGGGACCTGGCCGAGGAGAGGACCGAGTTCCTGCACAGCCAGAACCCTCCGTCACCCTGCAGGTGCGCCCTCTTGGCCTTCCCTCTCCTCTAGCCCATGAGGCTGGACGGGAAGGCCTCTGCAAGCAGGGTCTATGGGTGGGGGCAGCTTGCAGTGCTGAGCCGTCCCTGCTCTCCCCAGCTCCCTGTCCGACGAGGCCCCAGTCCTGCCCAACACCACCCCGGACCTCCTCCTTGCCACCACGGCTAAGCCGGCAGCACCCAGTGCTGGCAGGGAGACACCCCCCATCCAGGTGAGCAGACGCAACGCTCTGGAGCCCAACGAGCAGGGGTGGGCACCGTGGTGATGGTGGGCATCACTGCCTCTATACCCACTTCTGCCCCCCAGGACGGGCCAGGCAGCCCCAGTGGCTGTGAGGACAGGGGTGACCCAGCCCCGGAACTGAGGGCCTCCTTCTTGCCACGAACCTTGTCTCTGAGGAACTCCATCAGCAAAAGTGAGTCTGGAGCAAGGTGGGGGTCTAGGAGCAGGGCGGGAGGAGGCGTGGCCTGCGCTTCCCTAGCTGAGCCCAGCTCCGGTGCCCACAGTCATGTCAGAGGCGGGCAGCGAGACCCTGGAAGATGAGTGGCAGTCCATCTCAGAGATCGCCTCCACCTGCAACACCATCCTGGAGTCGCTCTCCCGGGAGGGTGAGGCCACCAGGGCGCTGCGGGCGGGGCCAGGGTGGTGCTTTCTCCCTTTACCTCCCTGCCCAGACGGTCCCTCTGTCGCCACAGGGCCGCCCATCCCAGAGAGCAGAGATGCCAAGGGAACTCCAAAATCTGACGCTGAGTAAGCCTCACATCCGACCTACCCCTTCACCCTATGCCCAGTGTTCGTGCCCACCCACTGGAGTGAAGCTCTGTGCCAGGGCTCTGCTGTAATGTACACCCAAGTCAGAAGACAGGGGTTGGGCCCCTCTCAGGCGGGTGGGTCTGGGAACCAGCCCATGGTGCCGCCCCCTGCCCTGGTCTCACTGAGTCCTGAATCCCATGTCCTCAGGCCAGAACACGGGAGCCTGTCTGAGAAGGTCTCTCACCTGGAGTCCATGCTCAGGAAGCTGCAGGATGACCTGCAGAAGGTGACACGTGGCTGTGGGTCGTGGGGAGTCACAGGGCTGCCCCAGGAGAGGGGCCAGGGGCTGGTCATGCTGACTCCCACCTCGCTCCACCTCCCCCCAGGAGAAGGCAGACAGGGCGGCCCTGGAGGAGGAGGTGCGGAGCCTGCGACACAACAACCGGCGGCTGCAGGCCGAGTCCGAGAGCGCGGCCACCCGCCTGCTCCTGGCCTCCAAGCAGCTGGGCTCCCCCACCAGCGACCTGGCCTGAAGCTGTCGGGTCCAGCCTCAGCCTGGCTGCGGACCTGCTGGAACTGCCCGGTCGCTCGCTCGGGGCACCTGGGCCACACCAGGCCCCGGGCCCTCCTCAGGGACTCTTGCTGCGCGAGGCGCATCTTAGCACTGCCCCCGCTCCCCGGCCCATTATTTGGTGGCATTTTGGTGGCGAAGTTGCCCCTCTACCCCATCCCCGTTTGTAAATATTCTGTGGAGAAAAGGGGACTTTAGGGAATAAAGAAGCCACCGTTATTTGTGTTCACACAGGTGTTCATGACGTGATGGGGGAAGGGGCTTTGCCCCCTCAGGCCCCGGCCAAGCTCCTGGGACTGTGGCTCAGGGTTGGGCTGGCACAAACTGAGGGGTTCTCTGAGGCTAGGCCACCCTTGGCTTCTGTGCCACAAACATTGATTTGGTCTGTTGGGAAGCAGGTGGCCACACCCTGTACCTATTCTGCTTAATCGTTGGAGCCAGGCCCCTGCCCTAGAACCAGACCTGCAGGGCTGAGATCAGAGGCAGAGCCCCTCTGGGCAGGAGAGGAAAGGCACTTAGGGGCCAAGGGGCGCCTGCCCATGCCCTCTTTAAAGGCCCTGTCCCCAGTACAGGCCCCGCTCTCCTCTCTGTAGACACTGAGCCCCCAAGCCTGGCACTGCCTCAGATACCTGGCCAGATCTGGCAGGCCCCAATTCCAGAGGTAGTAGCTTCTCTGCCTTAGTTGCCTGGGAGATGTTTCCATGTCCCAGAGGAAATCAGCCCTTGACCCACTTCTCTCCTCACCAGCCCATGACCCCTTGTTCCTCAGCCGGCTGGGCCCTTTCCTGTGAGTGGCATCAGCAGGTCCAAACTTGAATCGTGTCTAAACTGTTTTCTGGATCTGAGGCCCAGACAGGGCACTGACTTGCCCAGCATCACATGCCTAGTTCAGTCCTGCTGAGACTCAGGCCCTGGGGTCCATAAACTCAGGCTTTGGCAGGATGAGCTTGGCTCTGAGAAACAGAGCTTCAGGGGCTCAAGCTTCATGGAGGAGGTAATGTGAGGGCTGCGGGTTCGTCTGTCTTTTATTTATTTGTCTGCCCTGGGTCTTAGTTGAGGCACGCGGGATCTTCATTCTGGTGTGTGGGATCTTTACTTGCGGCATGCAGGATCTCGTTCCCTGACGAGGGATCGAACCCAGGCCCCCTGCACTGGGAACATAGAGTTTTAAACCACTGGACCAGCAGTGAAGTCCTGGGGCTGAGTTTTAAAGGCTCAATGTGGGGACATTCGATCCCTGGTCGGGGAACTAAGATCCCACGTGCCGCAAGGTGTGGCCAAAACGTAAAAATAAAATCAAGGCTCAGTGTCTTGTTCACCAGGTAGAGAAGGCAAAGGGATCCTGGGTAGAACCAGTCTGGGGGGCCTGTTGGACTGGAGTCAGCCTACGTAGGGACCCAGGGTCAAGGAGGCTGGAGCTGAATCAGAAAGGGCTGTGAATGGGTGCACTAGAGCTCCTGGACTAGCAGTTCCCAGCACTGTGTCCCAGCTTTCACCTGGTGGACTGTTGTGAGGAGCCCTCACAGTGCAGGGTGGAAGGCTCTGGTGTGATAGATGTTCAAAGGGAGGGTGATATGATTTGGGTGTCAGAGCCCTTCGGCTAAAGGGAAGGCAAGGCCAAGGAGGAGACTGTAGTAGCAGCCCCAGTGGAAGAGGTGGTGGCTGAAACTAGGTGACAGCAGTGGAGATGGAGAGAACTGGGCACATTTGCCAGGACCCAGTGAGGAGGTGGACTCGAGTTGCTAGGGGAGAAGATGCAGAATCCACGGTGGTGGCCAGGTTTCTGGCTGGAGCCCCTGAAGGATGGTAAGGCCATGGCTGAGACGGGGAGGGGGAAGGGCAGCCTGGGGCTGGCTGGGGTTCTTTGGAACACGGAGAGTTTGAGAGGCCTGAGGGATATCAGTGTGAGATGTCCAGTGCGCTGGCGCACTGGATAGATAAGTCTGGGCTGGAGACAAGGATTTGGGACTGGTGAGCCATGAGCATGATGAGGTCACTCAGGGAGTGTGAGAAGGACCGTGAGAGGGCTTCTGGGGGTCACGGGATGTCACTTCAGGACAGTGGGAAGGCCAAGAAGAGCGAGGCACAGCCTGGGTTGGAGGACCTGGGCTCGCTCATTCCCCTCTGGGTCTCAGGTTGGCCACACTGCGGGCAGCTCTGCCATCAGTTTCCTCTGGTTAGCCTTCTCACCCTGCCAGGTCCCTCCTGGCGCTCGCCCTCGCCCCATTTACAGCGCCGTTGCTCCATCAAGCCCCACCTCCCCAAGCACCGCCCACCCCACCCCCCACCCCACCCCGGCAGGTTCGCCGGGGTCCTGACCTGGCCAGCATGCTCGGGTTCCGCCCCTCGCGCTTAAGTACAGCTTGGCCTGGTCCCAGAGTGGCCCACCTGCTTCACACCCTACCCCCCGACCAAGAGCCTGGAGCGAAGCACGATTCGCTCGATGCTTTCCGGTTCGCCAACATTCCGCCGCCAGCTGGCATCTTTCCTCGTAGACACCGTCCATCGGAGTCTGCACCCTGGGCCTACTGTGTTCCCAGGGGACTCGCTAGATCTGCAGCACGTCCCACTGAAACCCGGTTGCTCCTGCCTTTACCCTCCCGCAAAACCCTGCGACGCCACCGGCCTCAGGATGGGGCTTCCTGAAGCGCATTACCTGGCGTCCCCGTTGTAGACTGCTATCCGTGCGCATGCGCACTAGCGACGGCAGGCCCTAGCGGGCCAAGGCCTCTGGCGACCCTGCTTTACTGCGCGTGCGTCAGTAAGTATGCCGGAAGTATGTCCAGTTCTAGTCCCTCTGGAAGTCGATTTGTTTTTGTTCAGGACTTCTGGGCGCGCGCGGTGGTGGGACGGCGGCTTCGGATTTAAGATTTCCTCCGTGCTCCCAGGGCAGGGTGTCAAAGCATAGACCTTTACCTGGCACCTCCCCTTCCCCAGCAGATGCAAACACTCCCTCATCCATTTAAGGGATGAAATCCAAACCTCTTAGCCCCGCCTTCTTGATCTTTCACAGACTGACCCCATCGAACCTTTCAACGTCGTCTCTCTTACCCAGCTCACCTACAAACGCTGGCTAGTCTCTCTGCGAAATCCACCCTCCTCTGTTGATGTAAGACCTGAAGCTAGCGTGGCCTCTGTGAAACCCTTCCTGAAAATGCTCCATCCCCACAGCTGCTGGGCCCTACCGGGCTCTCACTAGGCTGGGACCTCCACCCACTCCCATCCCCTGGCTGACTGCTCTCATCCACCGGCTGGTATCCAGGGGTTTCCACAGGCATCCTCGGACTGCAGGCTCCCGGATGGCAACGTATTCATCCAACTCTGTATCACCAACGTCCAGCCTGAAATGACTAGCAAAGTGTGCTGTTTGCTGAAAGAAGGCAAATCTCTGGCCAGCTTGGCAATGAATTTATTAGTTCAGAGTAGAAAAAGCAATAGTCTATAAACGCTTTGATTCTTCACTAAAAACTGAGCCTTTTGACTGGAGAGCAGTCAGCCTGCTCTCCCCCTGACCCTCCAAACAACTCGCCCTACTACTAAGGCACTTGAGAAAAGGGGGAACAGAGCAGTCTCAGAACCTCCCTGGATCCTGGAGAAGGCCAGTGCTATCCCACCAGTTCCCTTCAACCACAGCCCAGCAAGGAAAGAGCTGGCAGAGCCCTCTGCAGGGTAGGAAGGCCAGCCCCTCAAATGCTGGTGGTTAGGCACAAAGAATGCCAGCACCACACAGGGGCTGGTAACAGGGGCGTTATTTTGGCTCAAGGTGTAAATGAACCCACGATTTGAGGCAGACACTTGGTAATAAGGCTTTGTGGCCTCAAAGGCCATAGCTCCAGCCTGTCCCTCTCTCTAGGAGAGTACTAGAAGCTGGAGGGTGGGGTTGAGGGACCCCAGAATTCCCTATAGAGACTGGAGCTAAATATCAGGATAAGGGAAGGAAGAGTTTGAGTTTTCCCAGCTCTCCCCTTTCCAGAGAAGTTAATGCTTCTGCTTAAGCACCTCCAAAAAGAGAGATAACTACTGCCAACAGAAGAATAAAATGCACCCCCCTCCCCAGAAAGACATCACCCAAAGAAGTAGGGGGCAGCTGGAGAACAACCCCCCCAGAATCCGTAAGTGCTTGCTTTGGGAGGGCTTCCATCCCTTGCAACCCAGTGCTCTGGGCAGGGCAGGGCAGGTCCCTGCCCTTTAGGAGCTGATCTGACTTAGAAGGGCTGAGAAGTCCATGTCCGCAATGGAGGAGAAGTCTTCATCCCCTGAGAGGAGGCCGTTGGTGAGGCCAGAGGCTCCCAGGGGAGTGGGAGCTGGGTCAGGGGGCCTCTGGGACCCTGTCACCAGACGAGTTATAGCCTCAGGGTACTCCATCAGCATGGGCTCAGCTGTATGGGGGGCCATGGGTACACCCTGGTTCAGTAGCTGCTGAAACTCAGAGTTGTCGACGGATGCCAGGTCTGTGAACACGGCTGGATCTGTGCTATTGCCGAGCAGGGCCCCCAGGTCTTCATCAGCATCAAACTGCAGCTGCAGCAGAGCCTCTGTCAGTGTCCCTTCCCCAGCCGGGTTAGTCTTGGGGGCAGGTGGGGTCACAGCCTGAGCAAGGCCTGGGGCTAGGACTGGGGCTGGGGCCTGGGCCAGGGCTGATGCCATGGCTGGGGCAGGGGCTGGGGCCTGGGCCAGGACTAGGGCAGGGGCCGGTGCCAAGGCCGAGGTCTGGCTTGAGATCTGCCCAGAAGGAAAGACCATGGGGGAGAACTCCTCAAAGTTGATGGTGCTGAGAGATGGTGTAAAGGGATAGGGCTGGGGAGCTGGAAAGAGAAACAGAGAGGCAGGGGTCAGAGAAAGCCTCAGAGGCCCACCCCAGCCTCTGGACCCCAGCTGCTGTCAAGACTGCTTAGGATCAGTCCTTCTCTGTGGTGTCATGGCCAGCACCCTAGCACCCTCCTCTTAATCCAATCTGACCTC